GCCTCACAAGTTTTTTTCTTTTCTCATTTGGAAAAATTGGGAGGAGATGTAGGCAAGCTGCTCCAGTAATTCAGCCTTCATTCTTAGTAACTGCTGACATTTATTGAGGGCTCTCTACGCGCCAACTACTGCCCTAAGCACTTTCATAACTCAGTTAATGTCCCTGCAGGCCTTTAAGGTGAACACTGTGATCATTATTATTACCATCCCCATTTTACAGGTGAGAAAACAGAGCCCTTCTGCTTTAAGGGCTCCCCACCCCCTCACTGCAGCCCTGGTCAGGGCAGGCATGGCCACTGTGTCAGGTTTTCTACCTTTGGCTTGGAAAAGCATAATCCCACTGCAGAGGCTGGAGTGATACAGAGAAAGGAAGAGGCACTGGTGAGCCTTGGAGAGGAGAGGGGGTCCCCAGAGCTTGAGCTCATGGAATAATGGGGCACAAGGGAAGGGAGGCTTACTTATGGACCAGAGGCCTATCCACTTCCACTGACCCTGGACCCTCCGGCTGGACATTTGGATTGGCTGATGACCAAAGACTTAGCCAAGGCCACACAGTTAGGCAACTGCTGGCTGGCCCTAAATCCCGTGAACACCACTTCCCTTCCCTTCCACATCCACGTCTTCCACAAAGAGGAGCCATGCTGGTGCTCTAGTAATGTCACTAAGAGTAGTTAACATTTATTGGATGCTTACTCAGTGCCTGGCACAGGCATTAGGGACTGCAAACTCAGAGTGGCAGGGCAAGTAAGGTCATCATGTGAGGCAAGCCAGGCAGGGATGCTGTTGCCTGGAGGGTCAAGACTCTGACTAAATGGGGGATAGCACCTGCTCAGTACCCTGATGGCCTACCTGGCATTGCCAGATATTACTTTTTTTTTAAAGCCAAACATTTGGGCGTTCCCTTGTAATCGGATGGTTAGAATTCCACATGTCAGGGAATTAAGATCCTGCAAGCCATGCAACATGGCCAAAACATTTTAAAAATCCAGATACTTAAATTTTTCTATAGTATGTCCCAATTTAAAATTTGTTTTAAAAACTAATTCATAATTCAGGGAAAGAATACTTTGAGCAAATTAAATCCAGCCTGCGGGCCAGTTTGCAAACTCTGCTTGTCTTGTTTTCTCATTGAACCCTGACACCCATTCTGTTGAGGAGCCCCTGCCCCTTGTTCTATGAAGGAGGCAAGCAGAGCTCTTCAGGGGGGTAAATCACTTACCCATCTGGCCAAGCCACACAGTGGGGGTCTGCCCGACTCCCAAGGCTTGCTCCTATGTGAGACAGCCTCCGGAATGGGTGAGAGGCCTGTGTTCAGACACAGCCAGGACTGGCACCGTGACAGAACGTCTCGAGAGACAGTAAACCGTCAGTCAAACCATTCAGTGTAGTGACAAGAGATCATTCGAGATGAATGTAATGTTGCAGACGTAAAACTCCCCACCTCCTTCTGCCAGAACTCAACAATGGATGTCTCTGTGCCTCTTAATAAAATGAAGTCCCCACAGAATCATTTCTCCCAATTATGTATTCCTTATAATAATGGGATGCTCATATTTGGAGATTTTTTTTTTAAGCTATGAATGTACGTTTAGGGGAGTTGGTGTATGCGGAATAAATAGCTTTGAACCATTTGTGTCGCTTGTCAAACTTCTTAATGAGCATATTGTGCAGATACATAGAAGTAATTCTGACTGTCCCATTGGAGGGTGAGCTCCAGGAGTCAGAGATGAGTGTTTTGCTTTCAGCTGTCCCCCCAAGCACCTGGCACAATGTCGGATACATAGCAGGGGCTCAGTAAATATTGAATGGAGACTGGGGAGTGGATTGAATGAGTAAGGCTCAGAGGAAGTGAACTGACTTGTCCAAGGTCACAGACTTGGATTCTCGTTTACATCCACCTGATTTAGAAGCCCACGCCGTCACTCCTCCACCAGCCTGCCTCTTGGAAAGAGGTCTTCAGGCAAAGGATCGTGGCTCCAGGAGCTTCCACCCCTTTGGACTCCTCTTGAGTTAGGACTTGAGGAAGGTGGAGATGGACAGCGAGCCCCTGTTAATTAAGCTACTATCCACATAATACCTTTTGGAAACCACACATTGTACTCTTAACAGCCCTGAGGCTGACCCTGGGGTATTTACAGAGGGGTCGTACGGGAAGGGCAGGCCCTGGGTTTTACAGTGGAAGACTTCTGCTGTGTGACCTTGAACGGCGAGTGCCCCTCTCTGAGCCTCCTTTCTGCGCCATGTAGATAAACGAGCTTCACTTATTTATCAGGTCGAAAGGAGATCATCAGTGGAAATGGCTACCCAGTAATTGTCGATTTTTTTTTGAAGTCTGAGAACTGTTGAGAACAGGCTTATCAGGATATGTCTGACTTGGGGCTAAGAGGCTCTATCTTAGAAAGCCTTTGCTGCTTTCAAGTGGGTATTAATAGATGCAGAAGGCCCTTATCTCTGAGTTCACACTGGAAATTTTGCTCTTCACTCCTTTTTGCTATAGGACAGGAGAGCTTGTGGGAAGGAGGGCACCTGCTTTGACCTAGGAGATTGTGTACTGGAATACTTTAGGGAAGGCAGGGCGTTGAAAATCCCCAGGCTTACCAAGTCTGAATAATAAGCTTTTTCATTGGCTAGGTCAGCTCATGCCCTTTAGGTCTCAGTTTCCTCATCCTAAAATGGGGCAGTGATAATGGTGTCTGTCTTCCTTCACCAGCAACCAGTACAGTGCTTAGTATATAACAGGTGCCTGATAAATGTTTGCTGAATGACTGGTGGGCATGAGAGGGCTTCACAGAATGAATGCTACTGTTGTTGAGCCCCTTTGGGAATATGTGAAGGAAGGAAATTCCCTCTGGAGTGGGAATGTTGCTGGCTTCTCTCACCCTCTTGTCAGGATCTGGCTTGGCTATTTAGAATGAAGCTATTTAGAATGAAGCTCCCACTACCATTCTAGTGGGAGCGTCTTGAACTGGGGAGGGAGGAGGGGGACAGGCCAGCCCCGGGGCTGGGAATCCATTGCCTGCCAGATTGAGTCACTGGCTGGCTTCACTCCTGAATGGGCTTCAGTTTTCCCTTCTGTACTGTAAGAAGCTTATTTAGTCTCTCTGGTCCCTTCTAGTGCTCGTATAGTCTGGGATTTGCAATGGGTAATTTCACAAACTGCTTAGGAAACTCCTGGTGTGTTCCTAAACCACCTCATCTTAATAGTTTTTGAAACACTTTCAGATCCCTTATACTTTTCATACACATGGCAACCCTGGAAGGTGAGGTGGGGGAATGGCAGTGAACCCATTTTACAGATGAGGAAACAGGCTATGAAGTGACTGCAATGTATGGTAATTTGAGGCTGCCCCACACGTTTTGGTTATACAAGTACACCGATTTGTTCTCCAATGTGAACATACATAAAAGTCAGCTGGCATGAGGGTAGGGGTTTGTTTGTGAAAGTGATTCCTGGGCACTTAGATTCTAAATTGGCAGGGATGGGGTGGGCCCATAGTTAACAAGCACCCAGGTGATTCTGAAACCTGGGACATTCCAGGTAGCCTCCAGTGTGAGCCTGATCTTTTTACAGCCCTTCTCAGCACCTACTGTGGATCAGACCAGTGTCTGAAGAGGCCCTGTTGGAGCCCAGTCTGATAAGGAAGGCAGATAAAGAAATCCAGTGTGCACTCCTCAGTGCTGGGACAGAGGTGGGGGTGGACAATGGAGGAAGCGGATAACTTCAATACCTGAGTGCTCCCTGGAAGACGTGATATTTATACGGGGCCTAGGGATCTCAATCTTGATTGCGTCTTAGCTTTTTTTTTTCCCCCTGATGGGTCAGTCCCCACCAGATGGCAGGCAAGTTCATAGAAATCATCAAGCCTTTTACATCTCTGCCCTCAGTGCTGGCACAGAGCCTGGCACAGAGGAGAGGACAGTATTGCGCAAATCAGCTGATTTGAGCAATGAGAAATGGCTGATGGAGAGGTCCCAGGGCCTCCGGATTAAATGCATTTTCATGCTCAGCATACTCACCTCCTCCCTTTGTGAGATCTAACATGGAATTAATAGTGAAAATTCCACATCATGTTGTAAATGCTTGTTACCTATTTCCCTCTTCCCTTTTTCACTAAACTGTGAGTTCCTTAGCGCCAGAAGTCAAGAATGGGGCTTAGAGCCGGCTCTCAAAACGTTTGTTGAATGAGTGAATCAATTCAAGCAAAAGTTGTGCATTGGGTACTGAAGAGTTTCCAGCTATAGGAGGGCTTGTAGAAAAGCCCAGAGCTGTATTGGGCCAGACATCCCTCCCCATTTTCCGACAGCTCCCTTCTTCTTGGGCTCTGGGTGAGAGGAATAGGGTGGGCACACGATTTGAAAGTGAACGGCTTTGGTGAGGGAAGTTGAGGGAGATGTGGCTGGAGCTTGGAGGTGGGCCTAAGAAGCCAGAAAAGAGGAGAGGCAGTTTCTAGAGGGTGTTGGGGCCACAGGTGAGAGTTCTCGGGGTCACGTGGGGTCTGCTGACGTTGAGATATGTTTAATGGACATTCTGTCCTCAATGTCTCCACTCAGAGGCATCGGTCAGACGGGGGTGCGTCGGGGAGGGGGTGGGGCCACCACTCCTCGGACAGGGGCCGTCCCCTCTGAGGGCGGGGAGTGCGAACGCGCCTGGCACCGCCCCGACAAAGCCTGCGCGCGCCCCGACCCGCGATTGGCCTTGCCGCCTCGCGCCGCCGCCCCGTCCCGCCCTCCGCCGCCGGCCCGGCGCGCTGCAGCCAATAGACGCCGTCGCCGTCGCCTCCGTCACAGTACGGGCAGCCAATGGTGGTAGCGCTCGGCGGCTCGTGGCTCTTTCGCGGCAAAAAGGATTTGGCGCGTAAAAGTGGCCGGGACTTTGCAGGCAGCGGCGGCCGGGGGCGGAGCGGGATCCGGAGCGGGATCTAGCCCTCGCCTCTGCCTGCAGCCATGGGCCCGCGCCGCCGCCGCCGACTGCCACCCGGGCCGCGCGGGCCGTGAGCGCCATGGCCGTGGCCGGGGCCCCCGCGGGCGGCCCTTGCGCGCCGGCGCTGGAGGCCCTGCTCGGGGCCGGCGCGCTGCGGCTGCTCGACTCCTCGCAGATCGTCATCATCTCCACGGCGCAGGACGCCAGCGCCCCGCCGGCTCCCGCCGGCCCCGCCGCACCCGCCGCCGGCCCCCGGGACCCTGACCTGCTGCTCTTCGCCACTCCGCAGGCGCCCCGGCCCACACCCAGCGCGCCGCGCCCCGCGCTCGGCCGCCCGCCGGTACGGACACCAGGGACACTGGGCCGAGTGCGCTGCCTTGGACCCCCGCGCAGACCCGGGCGGGGCGCTATGTTTGGCCCGGCGGCGGCGGGGGCGGGGGAGGGTGGGCTGAGGCGCCCAGGCTGGGCGGTGCCGAGCCTGGGTTGGGCCTCGGGGCTCCGCCCTGGGGTGCGGGGTGACCTCGGGCCAGTCCTTGTTTGCTGCTCTGTGCTCTGGGCCTCAGCTTCCTCGCCAGAGCAGACTCAATGATAATAATGGTCCACGTGTATTCAGCTGTCGCTGACTGCATGCCAGGCCTCTGGCTGACTTCAAGGCAGCTAAAACTCACATCCATGCTGTGAGCTCGGCGTTGTCATTGTGCCCATCTGAACTGTGCCCAGAGAGGGGAAGTGGCTTGCCCCCTGGTCACAAGGCTGCAAGTGGGATTTAAACTGAGGCCTGCTGGCTTCAGACCAGAACTTGTGGCTGGGTGGTGGGCATGGCTGCCTGGGGAGGTCAAAGAGGGGTGTTCTGGAACCAGACCGTAGAAGAGCCATTGAGGAGACCCTCCTTCCTGCCTCTGGGACTGCCAGGTGCAGGCCTGGCCCTCCGGGCCTCTGGGGACAGGCTGCCTGGCTGGGAGGCCTTCTCTGCAGGGGCGGGGGTGACTGGGCCAGCTGCTGATCCCCTCCCTCTGCCTGTCCTTCCATCTGCCACCCTCCACCCTCCCAGGCCCTGGTTGCCATGGAACCTCATTAATCAGGCAGGCAGACCCCGGGGCCCCAGTGGAAGTCCTGGGTGGGCTAGGCCTCTGGGAGCTGGAGAGGAGGCCCCCAGTGCCAGGAGAGAGTAAATGCCTCAGGGAGATCCCTTGATAAAGTGCTCCCTGCACAGCAAGAGGCTAAAAACAGTTGAGACTAGGGGGCCCAGAGAGGTGTCTGAATTAGAGGGTGAGGGGAAGGAGGGGGCGGAGGCCTAGAGCTTGGTCCTGTGGGCTGCAGGACAGGGCGTGGAGACCAGTTTGACTGGTGTAGCCTCTGGGTAAAGTTAGGGCATGGATGGGCAGGCAGGATGGGGTCTCAGCACAGTTGGCTGAGCAAGTTGAGGCGGGGAGGCAGGGCCCAGGGCAAGGAGGTGGAAGCGCAACTGCTGACAGGAGGCCTGGGTAGCAGCTGGTCCCTGAGGCATCCCAACAAGGTTCCCCCGACCCCTTTGGCCCCCTGCCCAGTACATCCTTCCTTCCGGAATCACTGAAATGCTAATAATAACAATAGGAGGCACCATTGTTTTGAGACTGTTTTGTGAGTTAGGCCATGTGCCAAGCACTTTACCCAATTAACTCGTTTAACCCTATCAACAACTTTCCCGTTTTACAGATAGGGAAGCTGAGGCTTAGAGATGTTAGAACCTTCCCTGGTGAGTCAGCTCATGAGTGGTGGGACCAGTCCAGATTTCCTGAGTGGTTAACTGCTGGCAAGCCTTACTTCCTGGAGATGCTAATAGAGATTGAAGGAAGCCCAGGGTCCCTTCCTCCTAATGAGTGAGAGGGAGGGAAGTTGCACAGGGTGGGTCCCCCGATTGGTCTCCTGTACCCCAGCAACCTGTCCCTGCAGGTACCAGCTTGGAGCCTGAACGAGTAGCCTCCATTTAGCTGATTGACAGATGCTTAGGCCTAGGGCTGTCCTGCCCTTGGCCAATGGAGCTTCAGGCTTAGAGGGCCAGTCAGGGACTGGGATCAGGAGGTTTGCCCTCTGCTCCCGGGGTGTCAGGGGCAGTGTCATTGGATCTGAGCATTCCATTCATTCAGCAGTTGTTAGTGAGTGTCTCTGAGGTTCTAGGCACAGAGGCAAGTAAAGAGCCTCTGCCGTCACAGTACTTAAGGGCTGGTAGGTGTTTTCTGCTGTGAGCGGGGGTAGGGCCCGGTACCACCTTGCTGCTGTAGTCCAGAAACATGGGCCCAGCTTTTGCCATCCAACACCCCCTAACATCGTACCTGTGAGTAGCCACTGGCTATCTGAGCTGTGACTTCCACTCACCCTCTGCACTAGCATTTGTTTGGGGGCAGTCCTTGAAACAAGCTACAGGCTCAGCTTCTGCACAAGTGCGCATTCATTGAGTGCCTCCTGCCTACAAGGCTCTGCAATTCAGCCATTCCTTCTGGCTCTTCCTGTCCACATCTCCCCTGTTGTCATGGCTCTTAAAAAACAAACTGAATATAAAACATATTTCCTATAGAAGAAGAGATGAGAAAGTTGACGGGGACAAGATCCCCAGCCCCATCCATTTTTCCTTTTTTCTCTTCCAGAGTCTGCTTTTTTCTTTTTTTAAGGCGGTTATGACATCTTTCTAAAGATTTAGAAATTGAAGTTTTTCACTTACTTCTGTGTTCCAATAGCACATCATCCCCACTTTAGAGACAAGGCAGCAATTCCTCATGGTCCTCGCCCTGATACCAAGGTTACTCCTGAAATGGATTCTATAATAATACAAACTGAAGCAGAGAAAATGGTTTCATGAGCTTTTTAATCCCCAAAAGGGATCACATAAATGCATTGCTTCGTAACCATGTTTTTCTTGTCACTATGTCTTTGAGAGAGTTTTGTATCAACCTGCCCCCATCCTTCTTGACAGCAGTGTGGTATTCCAAGGGCTGGATGAACCAGTTTTTGTGGCCTCTCCCATGGATAGGTATTTGAGTCATCCGGATTTCTTTCATCCCTGCTTTTTGGGTCCCTGTGCCTGCATCTTTGGAGAACAGAGGCAGAAATGGGCATCTGTCTGCCTGAGTGTGGCATGGATCCACCTTCAGCTCAGGCACCCTTTTGAGGGGGCAGGAAGGAGGCAAAGGGTGCGGTTGGCTGGAGCATGCTAGGATTCAGGGCTTTGGGGTTAGGCTGGAGGGTGTACATTGTGGTTTGGCCTGCGGGAGCCTGGCTTCCGGATGAGCCTCTGCCCAGCCCACTAAGGTTCAAATCCTGACTCCACCTCTCATTGTGTGACCTCTGCGAGGTGCAGACTCAGGAAGTGGAAGTCATCAGAACCCCTGCTGCAAGGCGCCTGGAGGTTGTGGGTGATCACATGCAGGTGAAGCGGTTACCTAGCGGTGCTCAGGACACAGGAAGCACTCAGCAGGCATTAGCTCCGATACGGGCAGACGCCTGAGGAAATCACGAGTGCCTGCGTGAGAGGGGGGTGTCTGAGTCCTGCAGCATGTGGGGCGGTTCATTCAGCAAGCACATGCTGATGCCCAGACCCTGCGTGCAGAGAGTTTTCAGACCCAGTGCCCGCCTCCAAGGGGCTCCCTGGCCTCTGGGTGAGGCTACACACCTGCAGAAATTTGTGGCGAGCGACCATGTGGGGAAGGGTTGGGTTTGTGGCAGTCCTGAGGGAGAAGAGGCTCCATTTCTATTGCGCGATTGACTGGAAAGACTGAGGTGATGAGTAAGGTGCCTCTCTATGGAGGGGGAAGCGTTGGTGTGAACTGGGAGGGAGGGAGGCGAGGGCCAGCCAGGGAGGGACCAGCATGGGCTAAGGCTTGGAGGCGCAGGTCTGTGCAGAAACTCAGAAGCTCAGCAGACGTTCCTGTGGAGAAGTGGTGGCAGGTGAGGATACTAAGGTGGAGGTCACCGACGGAGGCAGGGAGGCCAGTGGGAAGATAGCTGGATGGTCCAGATAGGAGGTGCCAGTGGCTGTGGTGACGGGATTTTTGGCAACTAGATGCGATGAGGGCCGTGGGTGGGCCTGAACCAGGTTCCAGCTCAGGAAACCCTGTGGGTGGCAGAGGGGCAGGTACAGCTGGTTTGGGTCAGAATATGAGGGAGATGCCTGTGAAGTCCCCGGGGCAGTCTCCATCCTCATGAGGGAATCCTGGCTCTGGCACTTCCTGCCTGTATCACCTTGAGTCTTTCTGGGCTTGGGTTGTCCTACCTGTAAAATGGGGCCGTGATTGTGCTGCTGTATTCACAGACAAATCACAAACCAGAGAGGGAGTGACTCATTCAGGGGATCTGTATCCAAACGGCTTAACACATCAGACATTTGTTATCCTACAGTTTCTGAGGGTGGGAAATTCAGCGGTGACTTGGCTGAGTGCTTCTGGCTGAGGACCTCTTCTGAGGTTAATGCCAAAATGCTGGCCCGGCTGCAGTCATCAGAAGGCATGACCAGGGTTGGAGGATGTGCTTCTGATCCTGCCCATGTTGCCGTTGGGGGTGGGGCTTTAGGTGGGCCTCCTTAGGGCTACTGAGTGCCTACGTGACACAGCCACTAGCTCCAACCACGAGGGAGGGATCCAGTAAAGGGCCAGGAGGACGCTTCAGTGCCTGTGTGACCCTGTCTCAGAAGTGACACACCGTCACTTCCACCACATTCTGTTCATTAGAAGCGAGTTACCGGATCGGGCCCGTACTTAAGGGGAGGAACATCAGGCTCCATCTGTTGAAAAGAGGAGAAGCAAAAAAATTTGCAAACTACCACAGATCCCCCAGGGAGGTAGTGGTGGAACTGGGGCTTGAACTTGTGCCTTCCGGTTGAGTGTTCTGTCCTGTGGGGAAGGATCGTGCTGCCTGGGACCTCCCCCTCATTCACAGTCTTGGGCATCCTGGTAGAGTGACTGGGGCAGGGGGCGGCCCAGGAGCACCCGGTCCTCAGCCAGGTCTCTTGTGGCCCCACTCTCCTGGTTACTGGGCATCCTTCCATTGTTTTTGCCATAGGTGAAGCGGAGGTTAGACCTGGAAACTGACCATCAATACCTGGCCGAGAGCAGCGGGCCAGCTCGGGGCAGAGGCCGCCACCCAGGAAAAGGTACCCCCAGGGCTTGGGCTCAGGCAGGCCCCCCTGGCCAGACCCACATTGAGGGGGCGTGTACAGACAGGCATGCTTGCAGAGTAAGCTCTGGTCTGTCAGGCCTGGGTCTGATCCAGGCCTCGGGGGGCCCCAAGGGGCAGTTGGAGTGGCCGCCTGGCATGGCTTCCCCAAGCCCTAGGGGGTGGGAAGTTCCCCAGCGGGAAGAGGAATGCTGTGGTTGGCAGGCAGCAGCCACGGGGCCTCCCTGCTTGGCCTTACCAAGGGGAAGGAACCATCTGCCCCCTCCCACCCCCACCCTGCCATCCTCCTGCCCTGCTGTTGCCAGGGGCCCCAGTATGGCTGGGGGTGGTGCTGAGGCACTTTGTCCTGCCTGGCCCCCAGGTGTGAAGTCCCCAGGGGAGAAGTCACGCTACGAAACATCGTTGAACCTGACCACCAAACGCTTCTTGGAGTTACTGAGCCGCTCGGCCGACGGGGTGGTTGACCTGAACTGGGCGGCCGAGGTGCTGAAGGTGCAGAAACGGCGCATCTACGACATCACCAACGTCCTGGAGGGCATCCAGCTCATCGCCAAGAAGTCCAAGAACCACATCCAGTGGCTGTAGGTACCAGCGGACAGGAGGGTAGGCGGAGACCCCGGGCGGGCCGGGCCAGAGGCGCTGAGAGCCATACCTGCTTGTGGCTGCCCGCGTCCCCATCTTATGGCTGGGCAAACCAAGGTTTAGAGAGGAGAGCTGGCTTCCATGAGGTGATGGATGCAGGAAAGAACACAAATCTTACACATCTAGCTCAGCGCAACTTTTCATTTCTTCACCTGGGTAACCACCATCTGGATAAGGATAAGGAACAGTTCCAGCACCCCAGAAACTTCCCGTGTGCCCCTTCCCAGACACTGTCCCTTCCTCATACCACCCAGGTGACCACTGTTCTGGCTTCTGTTGCTGTTGATGAGCTTGGCTAACACAACTGTTTTATTCTGGTTAATTCTTAGTTTTTTTTCCCGTTTTCGCCTCTTTCCCTGGATCTTATTCCACTCTGACACATTTGTGTTTTCAGTTTTGGGTAGATATTCCATTCTACATCGATTTATTTATTTTCTTTTCACTTGATATGTCTTACAAATGCTTCCATTTTTGCATCTAATGTATTCATGTCTTTTTACACAACTACAGAGTGTTCCACGGCATGTCTGCCTTCGTGTACTTATCCAGGCCCCTACAAGGGCCACATGGGTGTTGCCAGACATTCAGACCCGACTCTGAATCCAGCCAGTCTGCCTTGGAAGCCCGGCTGAGGAGCCAGGCCATTAGGGGCAGGGGGCAGCAGCAGACTGGTTGCTGAGGGTCACAGCTCCAGGGAAGAGGGCTGGGAGCTGCTGACCCCTCCTGTTGCCTCCCTTCAGAGGCAGCCATGCAACGGTGGGGATCAGTGGGCGGCTTGAAGGATTGACCCAGGACCTCCAGCAACTGCAGGAGAGCGAGCGGCAGCTGGATCACCTGCTCCACGTCTGCACCACACAGCTGCGTCTGCTCTCCGAGGATGCTGACAGCCAGCGATATCCTTGAACTGCCTGGAGGGGGACCAGGGCCTCATCCAAGTGGGAATGGAGGGGCTTACCCTGGGCCCTGGATTCAGGAGAGGGTTCTGGCTTTGGATACTGGTCCTGGCTCAGCATTCGGTGTGACACTGGACAAGTTACTTAACCTCTCTGAGTCTCAGCTTCCTCTGGAAAAGGGGAAAAACAATCCTGTTTCAAAGCTATACAGATTAACACCAGAAAAGCTAGTATCAGTAATAACACATTTATTTAATACAGGGATTCAACACCTGGTTGTAGCTTCGAGGTTAGAGTTGCTTTTATTTACAAGAATAGAAACTTTATTTTGAAAGAAGTTTATACATTTTGGAGATAATGGCTCAGACGCTAAAGAATCTGCCTGCAGTGTGGGAGACCTGGGTTCAATCCCTGGGTCAGGAGGATCCCCTGGAGAAGAGAATGGCAACCTATTCCAGTGTTCTTGCCTGGAGAATCCCATGGAGAGAGGAGCCTGGTGGGCTGCAGTCCATGGGGTTACAGAGTTGGACATGATTGAGCAACTTAACACTCACACACACGCACTAATTGACATCAAGGTCATGGGTCAGAATAAATTCTTAGGACTATGCCTGGATTTAAGTAATTTTTATGAAAGGATTATAGGCAGCCGTCATTACCTTGAGATTTAATAGGTAGAGTGATCTCATTGTAGAGATGTAGAAGCAGGCTCAAGGGTATGAGATCTGCTTGAGCACCAACCATGTGCCAGCCCCTGGAGTGGGTGATGTAGAGGATAGGAGTGACTAGGCAGGATGGGCTCTGCCTTCTGAGCTGTCTGGGTGGGTGGCCCCCAAAGGCCAAAGATCATGTGGTCCTTGACTCCACCAACCCTGGCCTATGTGACCTGCCAGGACCTTCGTAGCATCGCAGACCCTGCAGAGCAGATGGTCATGGTGATCAAGGCACCCCCTGAGACCCAGCTCCAAGCCGTGGACTCCTCGGAGGTGAGACCTGGGAGTCTAGACCAGACCAGGACGGACTGGGCTGGGCTGGTAGTCCAGCTGAGCCTTGGTTTACCCTGCCTGCTACCTCCACCCAGACCTTTCAGATCTCTCTTAAGAGCAAACAAGGCCCCATCGACGTTTTCCTGTGCCCTGAGGAGAGTGTGGGTGGAACCAGCCCTGGAAAGACCCCGTCCCAGGGGGCACCCTCGGGGGAGGAGGACAGGGCAGCTGACCTTGCCACCACAGTGCCACCACCACCATCATCACCGTCCACATCGCCTGCCACGGATCCCAGTCAGTCCCTGCTCAGCCTGGAGCAAGGTCGGTGAAGGCGGTGTGGGCGGTGTGGGCCGGGCCCCTCGCAGGCGGGTGGGCAGGTGTGTCAGCCCCTCCCCGCTGGGGTGTCCCCAGCCTGTGATGCTCCCCCGTCTCCCCAGAACCTCTGCTTTCCCGGATGGGCGGCCTGCGGGCCCCTGTGGACGAGGACCGCCTGTCCCCGCTGGTGGCGGCCGACTCACTCCTGGAGCACGTGAGAGAGGACTTTTCCGGCCTCCTCCCCGAGGAGTTCATCAGCCTGTCTCCCCCCCACGAGGCCCTCGACTACCACTTTGGCCTCGAGGAGGGTGAGGGCATCAGAGACCTCTTCGACTGTGACTTTGGGGACCTCACTCCCCTGGATTTCTGACAGGGCTCAGGGGGACCAGGGCCTCCTGAGATGCCCACCCCATCTCTGCAGCCCTGGAGCCCCCCGCCCCTGGCCGTCCTAGCCTAATTGGAAACGTTTAATTTATGCCCCTCTCTCCTACCTCCAGAGGCTTCTAGCTCTGGAGTCTGGCTCCTGCCAGGAGGCTGAGCAAGCCAGGAAGGGAAGAATTCTGTTTGTGGTGTGTTTGTGCATGCACCCAACCCCCGACGTGTGTGTCCACGGGGTGAGTGGTGTGTGAGCATGTGTGTGTGCATGTCCCGGGGAATGAAGGTGAACACATCTGTGCGTGCACTGAAAACACGCCCCAGTGTGTCCACGTGTGTGTGCATGAGTCCATGTGTGCGCGTGGTGGGGGCTCTAACTGCACTTTTGGTCTTCTTGCTCCAGGGGCCCCACGAGGCCCAGGGTGGCCACCTGCCCCCAGAATCCTGTGTGCTGACCAGGCCAGGTGGAGAGGCCTTGGCCTGCTTGTTGGCAGGACAGCGAGAGCACTTCTATCGTCTTAAAGGTTTTTCTGATTGAAGCTTTAATGGAGCGTTATTTATTTATCAAGGCCTTTTTGGCAAGCTTGGGGCATCAGCAAAGGGTAGGAGGGATGTGGGACTGGTGCCGCAATTCCCTTACCCCCTGAGCGAGGGCAGGGGTCCCTGAGCTGTTCTTTGCCCCACTCCGAAGGAGCTGAGGCCTGAGTGGTTTATTTATTCAGAAAGCGAGGGAGGGAGATACAGACTGACTGACTGACAGCCATGGGTGGATCAAGGGGGTGGTCCCTCCCCATGGGGTCACTGCAGGGCCCCAGCTGCCCCCAGGATGGATGTGAGATGGGAGAGGTGAGTGGGGGACCTTCACTGACAGGGTGGGCGGGAGGGGTGGGGCAAAGGGCCTCCCCCCCCTCAGCCCAGACCACAGGGGCCCTTCCTGTGGCATTTGAAGTGCCCCCTCCACCCCACTTCTTGCTCTGCCCCACCCTCCAATCTGCACTTTGATTTGCCTTCCTAACAGCTCTGTTCCCTCTGCTTTGGTTTTAATAAATATATTGATGGTGTTTGGGCCCGGTTTGGGGACTGTGTATTGGGAGCAGGTCTGTGGGTGGGAAAGGTCAATGTTGCTGGCATGATGACCGTCCCCTACTTTCCGTTTCCCTGTCCCTGCCTGGTCTCATTTTATTTGAGCCTCACAGCCCCAAGAATGATCGGCTTCATCACCTTTTTTTAAATCCTAATTAAAAAACTGGTCCAGTAAAGTAAGCAATGAATTCCCTCTTTTTCCAGCCACAGAGAGGCCACCCTGATCAGTTGGCTGTGCTCCTTCCAGATGTTTCTGGACATTTGTAAACAGGCAACAGATAATTACAACCAGCTGATTCTGTGTCAGGTTCTGGGGACACGTGTTCCTTCCCTTTGTGGAGCTCTCAGAATCTGCTGGAGGAAACTCAAATAAATGAGAGAATCATGGAGGGCTTCCTGGAAAAGGTGGTGCCCGACCTAAAGCTGTAGGATAGTAGAAATTAACTGAGAAGAAAGAGGAAGAATACAGCAAGCAGGAGAAGGCAATATGGGCCCAGGACCTGAGAGAAACTAGGGTAGCTGGAGCCCTGAGGTGAGGGCCAGAGTGGAGAGACATTGTCTTGGGCTGTATTCCGGGGGAGAGAACTGGTGAGCCAGAGAGGAGTAATGCTCCCTTTTCATGTTTTAAAAGCTTCCTCTGGCTGCAGCGGGGGATGATAGATTGAAGAGGGGGACCCGTGGTAGGGGCGGGAAGTCTGAGTTGAGCGTGGAGGGTGACTGGCAGGCGGTCCACACGGATCTGTTTAGCACACCCTTAGGTGGGCTTTCTCGGAGCCGACCTCTATTTAAAGCCCTCACTGCCAGTCCGATCTTCCCTTACTCCCATTTTGCATAAGGTACACTCACAGGTGCAGGTGCTTGCGGGTTTTGCCCACCAGGTGGCGCGCCTATGCTCCCGCAGTTTACTCGACGCCGTAAAGATGTGGGGACCCGCCCTCAGTGGGCACGCGCAGCCCCTCCCGTCCTGTTCCTGGCTGTGTAATATTCCACACCGACCGTCATTCGCTTAGCCGGTCCTCAGGAGGGACTGACCCCTTGGGTGACTTCTCTCCATTGGCCGCCACCCCCGGAGAATGGGGAGTCGCACAGGTGCATTGTATTGGGGTTCTGCATTGCGTGGCTCTTGCCGCCTTAAAGGCTGGAGTTTGCTCCCCTTTGCCAGACGGTGAAGCTGAGGCCCTTGGAGGCGGGCGGGCGGGCGGAGGGCCGCGCTCTGGCGCTGGCCGGGGCTGGGCGGGGAGGGGGGCCTCGGGGGCCCGCCCGGCGGGGGCGGAGCTGCGGGGGGCGGGGCCCTCAGCCTCCGCGCCGGCGCCGATGGGCGGGCGCCCCCCCTGCGCGTCCCCCCAAGACCGCGGCGGCGGCGGCGGCAGCGGCAGCGGCGGCGTCCAGAGCCTGGAGCCGCAGCCGAGCCGGAGCCAAGCGGGTGGCGGCGCCATGGCGTGCGCGGGACTGCTCACCGTGTGCCTGATCCGGCCGCCCGCGCCCGAGCCCCCGCGACCCCCAGCGCCCGCGCCCGCCGCCGGGCCCGCCGGACACGCGCTCTTCCAGGACGTGAGTGGGGAGCGGGCCGGGGGTGCCGGCGCTGTGGCCCTGGGGGTGGTCAGTCTCGCGGGGTCGCTCCCGGTCTCTGGTGACTGACTCGCACTGCCTCTCCATGCCCTCGCTCATTCTAATTTTCCCCGTCCCTATGTCCATGTGTCTCCCTCCAGGTTTGCTGGGGGCTCTACCTCGGCCTCTGGGTCTCTCTCTCTCATGATTTCTCTCTTGTCCTCTGTTTCCGTGTGTCTCCCTTATCTTTATCTCGCTGCCTTTGTGTCCCATGATCTGCCTCTCACTCTTTCTCTGCTTATCTCTCCTTGCCTCTGGTTCAGTGTCGCTGCCCCCGCGGCCCCCCACCCCCCACCCCAAACCACCCCATGTATGTGTCTGGCCGGGCGGGGGCTGTCAACTCTTGGTCATAGGAGCGGCCACGGTGCCCCTCTCTGGCAGCCCCAGGCTGGGCTGACACAGGCAAGGGGGCCTGGGAGAGGAAGCAGCCGCTCCCCGCCCCCTACCCCTGACTCCTGACCTGTTCTGACCCCCGACCCCTCAGATCCCATCCAAGGGCTGTGGGATCTCAGAGTTGGTCGGCGCTGCCCACACTCACCCTCTGTGGTCTGCACACCCTCCCCTTGCCTGGCAGGTGGCCCTGCAGCCCCTATGAGCACCTACCTGGAGCACCCTGGCCCAGCCGGGGTCGCTCACCTGCACCCCTTCCCCACCTTTCACCCCTGTGCGCAGCCTGTCCTGTTCCTCTTGCGTCCCCACTCCCAGAGGCCCCTTTGGGGTGGGAAAGGCTGCTCTCCTGCCCCCTCCCCACTGCCCCTAGTGACTCAGCACCTTGGCCAGAGCCCTCTCAGCTGGAAGGGACCTGACCCTTCCATTTCCCAGATGGAAAAACCGAGGCCTGGAGGGGTAGGGATATGTTCCGGCACACACACGGAGGCAGGGGCGCCCTAGGGTGTGGCCCAACGTGTCCTCAGTGTTCACAGCTTACAACCCCTCCCCCTCCCCCAGCATGTCTGTCTGTCCTGGCCAGGCACCCTGGGTGGCTCTGTGACCCCGAGTGAGCCAGTGGCAGCCTTCTGTGAGTCAGGCTTCAAGCCAGGGAGTGCATTCATCCCTGAGAAGGCAGCCTGAGGGGAGGGGCACTCAGAATCTGGAGCTGCCAGGGCTCTGTCCAGGCTTTGGCCTGCCCCTCCTTGCCAGACCTGGTGCCCTCTTTGCTGGGTTGTTTTGGGTGACCAGGGAGTCTCTGGTCCCTAGGGGAGACAGGGACCATGTCTGGACTCCACTTTTGCTACCTCTGTTGTCCTTCCTGTCTGTTTCTCCATAAATACCATCTGTCCACCCTTGCTTTCTGTGCCTCTTACTGCCCCTGCACATACAACACATACATACACACACGGGCCTGCCCAAGACCATCGTACTGAGGCGGCCCTGGAAGGGTTAACCCTGGGCTGTTCCCCGGTATGCCGCTGAGTAAACCGGCACCCACAAAGGAAGGGCTAGCCACCGCCTGCATGGCAGGGTCTCAAGAAGCTGACAGAGAAACAGCCAGGAGTGGGCAGAGTCTGGGACGAACCATAGCCACACAGCAGAGTTGGGGTTCAGGTCTGGGATGGGTGCCTGGGATCTTCCAGCCGCATCTTGGCCCGTCTCTCCACCTGCCTCAAGCTGGGACCGTTCCAAGGGCTGATGCATCAGAGAGAACTCCGGATTGACTTGGGGGTGTGGGAGGTGAAGGTGCAGAGAGCCAGCTTGGAGCACCCCCCACAAGGCCAGGCCCTGCGGGAGAAGGGAGCAATCCATGGGGCCCGCTGTGCGCTCTTCCCCTTGTTGGAAAAGGCCCTGGAGGGCCGAGCTGGGCAGGAGGAAGGGAGATGCAGGGGGCAGGCCGGCCAGCTGGGGCTCTGTGGGTTTGGGGGGGTGGGGCTCTGGCCTCCCAGCTCCCAGCTCCCACCCCTGCCCTTTTGTCCTCTAGGTTTTCCGCCGAGCAGACAAGAATGGTGAGTGTGGCTTCCCCTGAGTCCCATGCTGGGGGTTAAGGAGCATCAGAGAGGCTCCGGGGAGGGTTTGGAGCACAGTTGAGAATGGAGAGAAATCTTGAGAGGATCCGAATCAGAAGAATGAACCCAGGTGTCCTTCTTGGAGGAAGTTTTTGTTTTGAATCCAGTTTGGCAGGAGGGAAAGTGGAGGAAATGTGGTTTAGCTAGAGGCTGGAGGTGGGGGCTGACTTTCACGCAGTGTCCTGGCCCGGTGGGAGGGTTCTTCCTGTAGATGACCTCCTGTTTTCCTCACCACCGCCGAAGTCTTCACCCCATTTCACAGACAGAGGAGCCGAGGCCCAGAGAGGTACAGCAGGCTGCCGGGGGTGCTGGGCCTTGAACCCGGGTCTATGCGATGCCTGGTTCCAGGCTCCCTCTGTGAGGGGCTTAGAAGGGTGTGGTCACAGAGCCAGCGCCGTGGGGGATTTTATCATAGATTCTTAGAGTGCTCAGTAACTTTCCATATTACCAACCAGCTGGATGCAGGGAGGGCGTGGGCAGGACAGAGCTAGGTCCAGGGAGTCAGCTCCCCCGATGCCCTGAATCCTGGGCAGTCTCAGATGCTGGCCTGGCAAAATCTGGAAAGCTAAAGCAGGAGCCATCAGGGGACCTTGCAGGCAGGCTGCTGCCCACAGATGACTCAGAACAGCCCATGGTGCCCTGATGGGCCAGTGGAGGGTCTGAGTTGAGACCACCCGTCAGCTTTGACCTCACCTTCACCTGGCCTCCTCGAGAGAGGATGGGTCCCCACTCCTTACCTCTTCTCCCTGGGTCTCCTCAAATTTGTTTCAGCCAGTTATCAGGGCACGTGGTCTCATTTGGATCACAGCATTCCGTCTGGGGAGGGAGGCTCAGGCCCTCCCCAGCTCCACTCTCCCACCCCATCTGCTTAGAGACCTCACAGGCCAAATACCCGGCGCCTCTGGCCAGTGCTCTTATGCTCTCAGCCTCTGTGATGGGGAGTCAGCCTCTGTGATGGGGAGGTCTTTCCCTCCCGAGCCAGTCTGCTGCTTCTTACTGGTGCCCTACTCTTAGGAAGATCACATCTGACTCCCTGCGGCTTCTCTGTGAAGGGCCTGGGTCCAGAGCACGGAGGTCCTCTCCACCCGGGAGCCACGTGGGCAGAGACCCAGCCCCAGTTCCTCCAAGTGACATCTAGGCCCTGCCATGATCTGACTGTGCCCCAGGCTGTTGTTCATTTATTTCTCCATTTGGCAAACATTGAGTCCCTGCTGAGTGCCACGTATGCACTGCTTTGTCCCTTGGGCGCCTGCAGAGTGGGCCCTGTTGCTTGAAGTGGGCACCTCTGGGGGGCCCAACCCTTTGGTCCCCAATGGCCAGGCCTCCCTTCCATCCCAGAATCCCATCTCACTTGGCTGGGTGGTTATGAGATGCTGCAAAGCCTTCAGGGGGCCTCCATCGGGTGGCAGGGGTGCAGCCAGGGCTCAGAGATACTGACTCTGTGCCCTGTGCCCACCCCCACCCCCCAGATGATGGGAAGCTCTCATTTGAAGAATTCCAGAATTACTTTGCCGATGGGGTTCTCAGCCCCGGGGAGCTGCGAGAGCTGTTCAGTGGTGTTGATGGGCATCCCGCTGAGTGAGTATGGGGGTTGGGGTGCACACGCTGCATGTAGATGTGAGCCCAGGTTGTCCCTACCCCACTTTGTCCCCTGCTTGCTTGGGTTCCTTATGGAGGATGTGGGGGAGGGCACGGGGAAAGGAGTGCCAGGGCTAAGTGCCAGCTTTACCCGCCTACCTACCCCTTCCCTGGCTCCAGCCCTGCCCATCACACTGCTTCCAGCTGGGACCCCAAAATAGCCAGGCCTGAGTCACCACCTATGGTTCAGCCCACAGGTGCCCCCCCCCCCATTCCTGCTTCCCGCTGAGTGACCAGCGGATGCCTGGGGACAGCTGGGCCCTGCCTGCTCCCACCCATGGATGCAGGTGCTCCCACATCTCCAGGCCTTCGTACAAATTTGCTTGCCTTCTCCTGCCTCCTCACATGGGTGCACATGTGTGCACAGCTATCCCTCCCTCTCACTTCCCCCTACTCCCCCCTCCTTAGAAGAAATTCTAGGCTCCCATGCCCTCCCATTTTCTGAGGCTTGGGCCAGACCTTTGTCTGCACTGCTGCTACCTCATCACCACCAGATACACCAGTCAAATTCCTTGTCCTTCAAAGCCTAGCTTAGGGAGCCTCTCTTCCAGGAAGCCCTCCTTGACCTACAGATACTCCATGCCTTTTCTGTGCTTCCACAGACCTGACTTCTCCTTCCCAGCTCTAACCACTCCTCTCTGGCCTGTGTTCACATCTGTCTCCCCCAGCCTGAAATCCCCGTGGAGGTTGAGAGGGGGACTGAATTTTTCTCCTTAGACACTGTTTGGTGGACTGGTAGTACCCCATCTCTGTCCACTGAGCAGCTTAATGTGGGGTGGAGTCAGAAGCTGCCTCTGTGTCAGGCTGAGCTGCGCAGGGAGAGGAAAGGACCGCTGGCTTCAAAGTCAGTCCTCATTTACCAGGAGGGTCTGAAGGACACCTTCTCTTTTCCCTGCAGCAATTTGGAAACGGAGAAACTGTGTGGTGAGTAGGCCCATGGGGATGCTTGTCTCCCGGGCAGGTGGGTGTCGCTGGTGTTCTGATGGAGCAGGCTGGGCTGGGCTCAGGGTATAAGGCCTGGTTGGCTGCTGGAGAATTCTAGGTTGTAAATGGGGGGATGTACCCCAGGAACCTTTGAGTATCTCCTCTGCCCTCAGACTACTTCTCTGAACACCTGGGTGTCTACCGGCCTGTGCTGGCAGCGCTGGAGTCGCTCAACTGTGCTGTGCTCACTGCCATGGACACCACCAAGCTGGTGAGTGGAGGGGCTGATGGTTGCAGGGGGGTGGCAGGTTGCTGGGGGTGTCTGCTGTGCTGTGGGAGCCTCCATCATCAGACTCGGGGCTGTGGGGCTAGAGGCCTGGCTTCCACTTTCTGGTTGTGCATCTTTACCTCTCTGGGTCTCAGTTTCCTCATCTGTAAACTGGGCATATTAATAGAACCTACCTCCAGACATTCATTGTGACAATTAAAGGAGAATGAAGGCAGGGAGTTTTGTTTGTCTTGCTCTCTGCCTGGCTCACAATAGCCACTTCATATCTGGAGCTGCTGCTGCTTTTATTACTGACCAGACCTGATTGTTTTGGTGTATCAAGCCCAACTCCCAGCAGGGATGGGTTGGGGGTAGGGCATGCTCACACACATCCACAGGCCCACGCTGGTGTGTAGAGCTTGGTGGGGTGGGGGGTGGGGGACAGCCCGAGGACATGCGTGAGTAGACAAGCATGTGTGCACCCATGTGTTTGTGTATATTATGGACATGTGCGCACAGCAGAAACAGTGCTCACAGCCAGGGCTCCAGGCCCTTGGATGGTATTTTTAAAAACACTGAAAGCTACCCTTTCCTTTCTGTGTTCCTTGTAAGAGATGTCTCCACCTCTCTTTGTCCCATAGCTCTGAATGAGGGGGCGAGGAGGGAGCAGTGAGCAGGCTTGGGATTGTGCCTGACCTCATTTTTACAGAAGGGGAAACTGAGGCTCTCTGTGAGTTAACAGTCAGCTGAGGACAGGGCTTCCCCTTCTGGTTGCTTTCACATAGGGTCTAGCAGCTGCTCCAAGGGTTACCCTTTGGGGCCTGGCACGGGATGGGGATCTGAATGCTACATGATGAGAGGTTGGTATGCTATGACTTCCATATCTGTGGCCTGGACACCAGTAGGGGCAGCACCTTCCTTGTTGCCATGGAAACAGGGCCTGGGGGTGGGCAGCTATACTGACATTCTCTGAACTGGCACTGGTTAGCGGGGATTCACACCGCAGCTCAAAGTAAGAGCCCCAGGGTTCCTGACCACTCCCTCCTGGCCCAAAAAGGGGTAGAAGGTGACCCATCACCACACGACTCTGCCGGCTGTAATCACTGAGGTTTTTATCTGGCACTCAATGCCTCTGACAGCTGCAGCTCAGCCTGCCGCGCGTCTGCCTCTGCAGCGCCCCCTTGTGGCACCGCCCCTTCCAGTCCAGCAGGACTCAGTGGAACACTTCGTGCACCAGCCTGGAGCCACATTCCTGGTACATGGCCCGGGTCATCCAGCGGCACTGGAAGGTGCGCAGCGAGGCGACCATGGAGCCGCCCGTCCACACCGCTGTCCCGCGCCCAGGCTTGGCCACCAGGCGCGGCTGCAGTGCCCCACGGCATTGGGCCTCCAGCTCCAGCTCCAGGCGCTCAGGGAAGCCAGGGAAAAGCGTGGAGCCCCCGGCCAGCACCACGGTGTTGGCTAGCCGTGTCCGTAGTGTCGCGGGCACCCTCTGCAGTGCCCGGAAGGCCAGGATGGGCAGTCCCGCCTCAGCCTGGCCTAGGAGACCCGGCTGGAAGAGGGGTTCTGGGCAGCAGAAGCGCTCGCTGCCAAGGCAGACAGAGCACCCACTGCCTAAGTAGAAACTGACTGGGTGCTGGCGGGCGGGATTACAGAGGTCACCCTCGAAGTCTAGCGACACGTAACAGCAGCGCTTCTTGAGCTGTGTGATGACCTTGTGGGGCAGGGCCTGCAGTCGGTGATCAGGGCCTGCTGTCACCAGCAGGTCCCGCAGGTAGCGCGACAGGGCGCTGCCAGCCACATCTAGCCGGAAGGTGGCCTTGTGCCACGAGTGGCCCGCATAAACGGGCGTGGCGTGGCACACGCCCGCGCCCGCCTCCAAGGCCAGCCCGCTGAACGCACCCACGGAGCAGAGCGCCAACAAGGCGGTGCTGGCCAGGTGGCACGCGGGCACTGCCAGGGCCTCGAACAGCAGCTCGGCCACCCTTTCGCGGCCCACGGGCGGCGCCGATGGGGAGTCGCTGATGAGCACGGGCCACTCCTCCGGGCACACCCGCAGGCCGCCCACCAGCAGGCGCTCCCACAGCCCCTCCAGCGCTTCCCAGTCCACCACCACGCCGTGCTTGATGGGGTGTGCCCGCGCCACGCCGCCCGCCAGCTCGCAGCCCGGCGCCCCGGGCAGCACCGGCCGGTCCCAGCTGGGCACCAGGCTGGAGCTCTTGAGTACCAGGCGTGGCTGCTCCTCTCCCGCGAAGCCCGCCTTGGTGAAGCCGGAACCCTGGTCCACCACCACCGCGACGTGGCCCAACGAGGACAGCCGGCGGACCCGGCGACTATTGGCCAGAGAAGCCATCTTCGAGCTGGCAAGCCCTGCAGTCAAAACCTCGGCCCCCGAAGGCTCGGACCCGCCCTCGGCCTGAGAACCGCGTCTAAGCTGGCCTCGATGGAGGCCCGCCTTTCAGCTCGCAGCTCTACCTCCTGGGCCCACGTCCCCCGCCTTTCTGGGCTCAGTTCTTGGGCCGCGCCCTCTGGTCCCGAGGTCCCACTCTTCTGGCCTAAGTAGAGGTCTCTTCGGCCCTTGACTTGGCTCTGCCCCTGGGCCTGAGGCCCGGCCTTCTGGTTCAAGAGTCAGGTTCCTCCCTCGCCGGGCCCTGGCGGCCTCGGGCAGTCTTACCCCTCTTCCGGCTCAAGGCCCCACCCTCTCTCTGAGGACCCTCCTCAGCGGTGCGTCTCCGCCCCCCTAAACTCTTGCTTGGATGGATGATGAGAGGGGCGGGCCAAATCTTTGAGATTGAGAAGCCTTCAGGAGCAGTTCTGGGAATAAAAGGCCTTTGTGGCAATATTATCCAGACATCTGTTCCCCTTGGGGATCCAGGAGTCCAGCCCGACCCTTGAGCCTCCAGCGGTCTCCTGGCACTTCTCACTGGTCATGACCAAAGTACTGTGGCTCCTAGTGGAGGTGGGAGGGGGTGGTCAAAGAAACAAGGAAAAGAACTTGGATCCATTGTGACCTCAGTTCTCAGCGTCTGCTGTGCTTCCATAGCCTCTACCCAGATGAAAACGCCCAGACCCAGCCTGTCTCCGGGGACAGGGCCATTGGTAATGATTTTCACACCCAGGGATGTGGCCTCAGCCACCCAGCTGTGCTCAGCGTTTATGCTCAGTCGTGTCCGGCTCTTTACGACCTCATGGACTGTAGCCTGCCAAGCCCTCGTGTCCGTGGAATTTTCCGTGGAAGAATACTGGAGTGGGTTGTCATTTCCTTATCCAGGGGATCTTCCCAACCCAGGGATCAAACCTGCATCTCTTACGTCTCCAGTGTTCTCAGGCGGATACTTTACCACTGAGCCACCTGGGGCCAGCACAGCCAATTTAATTGCTTCCCCCAAACCACTTTGATGAGCTCTGGACAAACGTGCAGCCTCTCTCCTCTCAATGCTGAAGAGAAAGCTCTTAATCACGGATCTCCAGCCACCCTGAAGATCTCTGTGAGCTTAGCTTTCAAGGGCCCAGGTAGCCCACAAAGGGATCCTACCTTCAGGGGCTTACAAACGTGGACCTGAGTGTGTGACTCAATTATGAGGCTGCCTTCACTGTGTACTGAGTGAGTCCGAATTTCACCCTGGGCTCAGTTACTTCCTCCAAAAGGCACTCATCCCCCCCCCCCCACAGGAAACAGGCCACGTCATGTCTCTGCAGTCTCTTTTTTTCTTTTTAGGACCACTATGGTTGCAAGTTGAAGACCTATTCAGGAGAGTTTAAGCTAAAATACGGATTTTATCACAAGAGCCTTGTATGTTTTATATATACTAAAGGCAAGAGTAAAAACAGGCTTTAGGAAAATACTGGAAGCAGTGTCTGGCTGCCGGGCTGTGGGGGACCCAAGAGGTGCATTGGGCTCTGCATTGTGTTTATATTCTTCTCAAGACTGGCTTCAGCCTGTGCATGTTCCCAAAGAAAACATTGTCTCCTATAGTTCCTGAGGTGGAGGAGGGGACAACAGAGGGTGAGATGGTTGGATGGCATCCTTTGCTCAATGGACGTGAGTTTGAGCAAACTCCAGGAGATAGTGAAGGACAGGGAAGCCTGGCGTGCTGCAGTCCGTGGGGTTGCAAAGAGTCAGACATGGCTGAGCAATTGAACAGCAGTTCCTGAATTACAGACCCAGGGAAGGAACTGAGAGGACTGGGCTTGGGCCAGTTGCTTATGCCAGGAGATGTGGCTGCATTGAAGAAGGTGGTTACCTTGACTGCAGCCTTGTGGATGGTAGGAAAGGGTCAGTTCTCACAAGGCAGCGGGGGAGGTGTGATGGGTACTGCAACCTCCAGCCTGATGCAGGCAATGTGGTGTTGACACTGACAAAAGTGTACCTTCAGGAGAAGTTAGTCGTGCCTGTGGTTTTAGTGAGCTGGGACCTTCACCCCTCTGCATCGCACCCTCCCCACCCCCCGCAAAGAGGCATTTTGAGATTGGTCACCAGCGGAAAGTAGGCTGCAGGTTCGGCAGGGCTGGAGCGGACAAGAATGACTAGGGTCTGGCGCTGGGTTTGGGACCCAGGAGTGTGAGAAGCAGCCGGGTCCTGCCCACAGAAAGTGTGCCAGGCCTCTCGTGGATGAACTAGGGAGGTGAACCTTGAATCGAAGACCACAAGTGGCAGTATGGCCAGAGCAGGATTGAGAGTGGAAGTCACTGAGACGCCCCAGAGGGGAAGACGGAGGCTGGGCATCTGGGCCTGTACATTCCAATCATAAGTCTGGGCATTGGAGAGCCAGTGTGAGCTTATGAGCGGAAGTGTGAACTGCCCTACAGATAAGTGCTCTGGAAGAAGCCTCTTTGGCTGCAGTGTGGGGAAGAGGATGGGGTGGGGTAGGTGGGGAGACGGTGACTGAGGTGCCTTGGGGGTCATCAAGCACAGTGGGGTAGGATTGAGGGGTCAGAGGACCAGGGACCCCAGTCTTTCCTCCTGGGTGCTCTCACAGGCAGGATGTGAGTCTAAGGCTCAA